AACTGCTTCTGCCTGCCAGCCTAATCAACCACTAACCACTCCCCTGCCAGCCTGATCGATGCCTAAATGTTCCCCTGCCGGCCCGATCACCCCCAACTGCCCTCCCCTGCCAGCCTGGTCCCCCCCAACGGCCCTCCCATGCAGGCCTGGTCACCCCCAACTTCCCTGCCCTGCAGGCCCAGTTGCCCCAAACTGCCCTCCCCTGCAGGACATCTTGTGGAGGCTATCTTGTGGCCACATGGGGGTGGCCATGTTTGACCACATGGGGTGGCCATCTTATGTGTTGGAGTGATGGTCAATTTGCATACTGGTCCTGGCTAATTAGCATATCAGGGCTAATTAGCATGTCCCTCTCTTATTATTTGTGTTAGAGTGATGGTCAATTTCCATACTGATGGTGACTAATGAGCATATGCGGTCGTGACTGTCATGACAACAAGATCTTAAGACCAATGAAAAAAGTGAGTAAAAGTAGGGGCACCTCTTCATTCATAAAGACATAGCTGCACCCAGACTGACACAGTCAAATCTCTCTCTCTCTCTCTTTCTCTCTCTCTCTCTCCCCTCCCCACCTCTCTTTATCTGACTTGCTCGTACTGAATTAAGCATGACTTTGTGCATTTTCACCTCTACAACATTCTCTCATACCCTTAACTGCCCTGAGTCATTTTTAGGCACACATGTTTTGAAACTGCAATGTTCACAAGAGTCATTATCATTATCATTATCACATTTCACCGGTGCCATTTACATCATTTACATGTTTTAGAATTGTTTCATGCTTTATTAATCAGGGGTCTCCTGAGAAATAGAGACAATATTATAGATATATCCTTTGTATATGTGAAAGAGACTGATTTTCAGGAATTGGCTCATGTAATTATAGAGTTTAAATAGTTCCTGACCCTGCCTTTTACAAACCAGACACCCAGGAAAACTGGTGGTGCAATTTAGATCAAGTTCAACAGCTTGAGAACCAGAGTAGTCAATGGTGTAAGTTCTAGTCCAAGGGCAGAAGATAACCTATATCCCCACCTAAGTAGGTAGGCAGGAAGCAAAAGGAACACCTTTCTTTCTCCCTTCTTCTGCCTCTTTGTTCTGCTTAGACCCTTAATATAGTTTATTGTGACCAAAGATCTAAATGCTAATCTCATCTGGAAACAGCACCCTCACAGACACACCCAGAAATACTGTTTAATCTGGGAAATCAGTGGACAATCACGCTGACTCATAAAACTATTCCTCACAATTACTTTCCTGTTTCATTTCTATTCTGTTAAAACTATAAAGATTATATGTTAAATGGTATTAGAAAACTTTGCCCATCAGATGATTCATCATGTAGTTTGATCTGTGCAGTCCATTTAGGAAAAGTGTCATCTTGTCCTTATTGAATCCAGGTTCTGAAAGCCAGCATCACGGTGCTACCATCTGTGATAGCCCCCTGGCTGACCACCTGAGGTAACTTCAGATTTGTCAGCCGTTCCCTCTCACAGGACGGCCAGGACACAAGTTGGCCAGGGTCACTTAGCTTAGCTGGTAGGGACAGGACAGGGGAGAGCTGCCAGGATCACTGCCTCAGGTGGGCCTTCAGGGAGGGTCCTCCCTGTGGTAAAGGAGGTATTTCATTCCCTCCTCATGACACCTCATCCCTAAGGGAACAAGATGAGGGTGATGTGTGTGACAGTCACAGCTCAGGTCAGCCTAGTTCTCCAGAGGATGAATTACTGTGAGAGCCATGAGAACAGCTTCAGGGAGCAGAACTGAGATAGGATTAAGAATGTAGTCTCTTGCCCCTCTGGACTAAGGCACAATGGTCTGGTATTTCCCTGAGGTCTTTGTGAAGGCCTCTCATTGGTCCATAGCTTTTCTTCTTTCCTGCCCCGCCCCTAAGAATTTAACTTTCATTTTCACTCTGCTCCTCCTGCAGCTGGATTGGAGAGTGAATTATCACCACTTCTGCCCCTCAGGCTGAGACTCCAGAACAACAGCATAGGCCTTTTTCCTGGAAAATTGGATGTGAATTTTGCTTTGCTCTCTGTGCCTTGCCTGAGGGGTGCTAGTGTGCCAACAACCATGGCTTCCATTATTTCAGACCTCTGAACAGGAAAACGCAGCCCCTCCCACCCCCACAACCAGAGCCTGGGGCTCAATGGGCTCCTCTGTGAGGGCTGCCCTGGCCCAAAAGCTGGGGCTGGGCCTTGGTGGCTGGCAGAGGCCAATCCAGTAGAGTCAGGGAGGTGGAGCAGGGGTGATGCCCCTGGGAGGGGGTTGGGGCCTAGCACTCCACAGTCAGCTCTGTGGGTGGGGCAGCAGCAGGGCAATGGGGCGGGCAGGCACACCCAGGGGCACTGACTGTTTAGATACAGGTGCACCCTGCTCTCATGAGGTAGGGGGTGGAACACCAAGTCGCCTCCATTCCCCAGGTCTGAGCATCAGGTGAGAGTCCAACAGGCTTCCACTCCTCCTGCGGGAGAAGGATTTCCTTTTCACATTTTTTGATATTTACAACCATAGTAAAACAAAGATTTATATTTTTGATATTTATTTTATATATTTAAATGTCATTTAACAAAGAATAACCAACCAAAAAACTGAGTTCGAGTGTCACCTCTGACACGCGTGTCATAGGTTCACCATCACTGGGTTAGAGAGAGGTGCAACCCTGCTCTCATAGGTAGAAGGTGGAGCACCAATATCACCTCTACCCCCAGGTCTCAGCCTCAGGTGAGAACCCAACAGTCTTCCACTCCTCCTGCAGGAGAGGAATTTCCTTCTCACATGGTATAGACCAGTGGTCGGCAAACTCATTAGTCACCAGAGCCAAATATCAACAGCACAACGACTGAAATTTCTTTTGAGAGCCAAATTTTTTAAACTTAAACTATATAGGTAGGTACATTGTTATTAACTTAATTAGGGTACTCCTAAGCTGGCCTTTGCTAAAAACGTCCTCAATCTGATTGAGGTACGTTCGCTGAGGTCGACCCCTTCCAACTCTCCCATCCACACTCGTCTTGTATACTTGTTTCGTCTATCTCCTTTCGTTCATCCTCTCTATATGTCCAAACCATCTCAACATACCTTTCTCAATCCTCAACACTACATCTTCTTTCACTCCACAACATTCCCTAAAATTAACTTAATAAACTTTACTTAAAGTTTTAATTCAACATTGCAATGTACGTGTGCGCCCACACGTGGTATTTTGTGGAAGAGCCACACTCACGGGTCCAAAGAGCCGCACGTGGCTCGCGAGCCGTGGTTTGCCGACCACTGGTATAGACACTTCTCAAACTTCTGCTTTTGCGCGTGTCATGGAGCAACTCCTATAAGACTTTTAAGCCCTGTGCACCTGCCCTTTAAAAGAGAAATCTCTTGTATCCTACACCTCTAGGGTTATTCTGGGCACAAGCCTTATTGGTTTTTGAAGGCAGAGACTCTGTGGGTTCAGGTTTCTGGTGCAGATCCCCAGAGAGCCTGATGTGGGACACAAACCCCTAAGTCCTCAAGGGTGGCTTCACATTTGTGATATCCTTCCAGCGCAGACACCACTCCTGTTCCCATATCTATCTGCCTGCCTGCTGTGGAGCCCTGGTCACTGCTTAGGTAGCAGTGGGGTCAAACTCCATGTGTGAGGACTCAAGCTCCTCTGCGCTTCCTTCTTTTTAATATATTTTATTGATTTTTTTACAGAAAGGAAGGGAGAGAGAGAGAGAGTCAGAAACATCAATGAGAGAGAAACATTGATCAGCTGCTTCCTGCACCGCCCCCCCCCCCCCCATCGGGGATATGCCCGGCACATGACCTTGACCGGAATCGAACCTGCGACCTATCAGTCCATAGGCCGACCCTCTATCCACTGAGCCAAACCAGTTAGGAATGCACTTTCTTCTGTGTCCTGTGGCAGCAGTTGCTTTGACCTCTGCTCCTTATAGCCCCACCATAAAAATAAATTCTCAGCCCCAAAGCAGAATGCATGCTGTGCTTCTCCCTCCTTTACAGGCTCCTAGTGTGTCTCAGGATTGGTTGGATCTTGGATGAGATGCAAAATAATTGGAGGCTCCTACTCCAAGTTTGGATCATGCTGGAGTCATAAACAAAGGATAAATATTAAACAATATCTACCCTGATACAATCTCTATCCCTGATCCTGTAGCCAGGGGTAACTGCCATATGGCCTCTGGGATATTTTCAGTATCTGGGCTGTTTAGCTGGAATATGCCAGGTTTCTTGTTCTGGCATCGAGAAGGGTTCAGCAATCTAGAGAAGGGCTGTGTGTAACTTAATAAAGAGCCCAGAGACGAAGCATAATTTTGAAAGGCAGTATAGAGAGTCAGAGGAGCCTAACTAAAGAAACTAAGATCTCCTCATCTCAGGACTCCTTGCTTTTTGTTAATACAATTTTTCCTAAGGTGAAGCAGAGATACACACATCAAAGGGTAGGGTTTCTGTATACACAAGCATTGTCAGAATGGGGGAATTTGCCTACGGCTGTTCAAGTATTTGGCCAGTAGGAGGCAATAACATGTAAATTAAGATGCCCCCAGCTGTCTGGCAGCAAACAATCATCCTTTTTCAGGTTTGGGGAAATGCTCTCAGCCATCCCCAACAGGTGACAACATATGTGACTCAGCCCTTCTTGAGTTCCCAAGTTCCATCAACCTTTTGATGAAACTCTTGCAATTATGACATGCTGGAATTGGCTTCCGGCAGAATACACTTCTGTTCTTTTTCAGCCTCATTCCTTATCATGTTCCCTTCATGTATGATGACCATGGCACTAGTAGACAATGCTAGTGGGTCTAAATTCATCTCTATGCAGCCTTTGTAATATTTCCCTTCAGAGAGCAGAGCAAAGGGAAAATTTAACTGACACTTCAGATCTTTCTTTTACCATCAAACTTTGGCAACCATCAAGACATGAATATCTACTGAGATTTTTTCTTTCTTTATTGCTTCATAGTCCCATTTACTTGAAGTTCCTGAGAGAGCTCCTGATCCTAGACTATAGCCACAGGGCCATACCGAGTCCAGGTGGGAGAATGAGCATCACTGTGTTACCACTCCGTGATACCCTCTGGTAACTTAAGAAACATTCAAACCTGTGAGGAAGATTTGTGTGTTTATTTAAGCCAAACTGTTCACAATGGCTGGAAGCAGATTCTCAATGGTTTGAGATAATGCTCCAGAGAATGGAAGTTTTACACCTTGTATTATACATTAGAATCAAAAGAGAAGATATAAGTGTGGTACATGAAATCCATTGGTGATAGATTAGGGAGGCTGAGGCAGAAGAAAGCAAAGAGGGGAGGGTATGGAACCTCTGGAATTGGATAAAAAGTAAAATGATAGACACATTCTTCTTTTACTTAGATGGGTGAAGGATAGTTAACATTCAACAATTAACTCAATAACACTGAGGGTACTTGTGGTCTCCATACTGTGGTGCACGTGCTTGGAGGGGTCCAGAAAAAAAGAAAAATTACCTGGACCTTCCAACCATATGTTAACATAGATGCAAAAGGACAATAGACAAGCTCAGTTAAAGTCAAGATTGACTCTGTCAGGGAAAATACCAGCCTAGAACATGACTACCCACCAAAAGTGTCATGCTCTTTTAGTTTAAAAACTTAATTTCAGACCATCCTCTGTGGTTACTGTTATGCCCAGATTTCAAGATCCCCATTAGACCACACCAGGGAGCCAGCCGAGTCCGATGCAA